AGAAATAGATTCATTCAAAATAGAAAAATCACGTGGGTGCGTAAAGAATCTTTACACCGATCATTCTTGGCAAGAAAAAATAGTCAAGCCTAAAGTAGGAACGCAAAAAGTTAATTGCAATCTTGACCCAGATTTTGATGGACCTATCATTTACATTCTAAAATAATAGTATACAACTATTTAGTTGTATATAAAAATAATTTTCAATGTTATCATAATAAATATTTCTTATCTGAAAATGTGTATTAATCTTCTCTGTTTTACAAATAAATAAGAGACATCTATTGTTGTTGTATAAAAACGATTAAGCTTATTTTTTGACATTGAATGAGGGCCTGTGTGTCATATGAGATGTGCCAAAGTTTTCGATTCTACCTATCAGATAAAATTCACAAATAATTATGATTGGCAAAGATAACAGATCGTTCATAGTAGATAAATTTATGTTATCAAAGATAGACACAGAGTGTCCTGCTCCGCTAATGAAATTACCCGTAATAAATTTGCACTTACTAGAAATAGTTTTCGTCCTCGATCGCCCATAGAAACGTTTAATTAATGTATGATGTTGTATGAAATCATCCTCGATCACCCATGGAGAATAAATTAATCCCATTCATGACAAATGCCTGCTCCAAAATTACTGATTTATTGACACACGGAACTACTAATGTTATAAAAACAAAACATATTTCCCATTAATCGTAAAATCACAAATATGGATATTAAATACCTTAAAACCCTTGTGTTAAATATTCTTAAAAATACCTCTCCAGGAGATATTGCAAATGGAATTGATGTTCCGGAACTGGATTCATGTTCACTATGTAACGATGAATTATTTTTAAGACTAATAAAAAAGCCATTCACAGCTCTACCATGTGGCCATATATTTCATCGTACTTGTCTTGAAAACAGTATCATAAATGGTGTAGAAATTTGTCCTGCCCACGGTTGTTCTAAATTTTTTGAATTGGAGTTGCAGGATGTTGAAATACCAGAAGAACGATCTTCTTCATCCCAAGATAAAATGAGTATTGATGGATCATTAGAAAATTATTCTCGACAAAAAACCAACACATTGGAAAATGACCCATTGCATCTAGATACGATCACAGAAGACCCATCTGATGATAATCATTCACAAAACAAAGAATCCGATGTACCTGAAACATCAACTACAAGTGCTTTGCCATCCAAACGCGCTAATAAAACTACCACTATGGATAAACCACCCAGTAAAAAAAAGAAATCCTCGAGTAGAGAAGATTCCCCTGTATTGAAAAAACTTATCGTTGAGTTGTCTACTGATGTTTCTGGAACTTCCGAAGTCATAATTAATGCAAGGGAAGATACCAGTAATACCAGTAATTTTTTATATCTCTATAGCAGGATTGATCAAGCCGAATCTAAGAATGAGACAACTAACCAAGATGTCATTAGGTGTTATTACTGTTTTGGAAAGGCTCTTGAGGATCGATTCGAACATTACAAGAAAACTAATCCCAAACGTACAGCTCAAGCGCTAGTTAATGAAGAAGTTAGGAAACAACTCCCCCAAACACTTAGTGATGCCCTACTTCGGAAGAAAAAAGAAAGAGCTCAGAAGATTTATGATCTTTTTAACGGAATTGGTGAAGATATGATTCGACGGATTAAATCTTTTACAGCTTTAACTATATCAAAGTTAAGTCAAGATGATATTGATTATATACTAGTCAAATTTGCAAAAAAATAGCAAATAGATGATTATAATCGTTACTGCGCCATACACGTGATGTTGTGACCTTGAGGTCACATTCTTATTTTGTTTTCAAGATATAATAAAGAGATCATTTACTATGATTTTTGATTCCCGCTTGATTAAACATAATTATCCAGATTCATACCATAATCGCATTACCATAAGACCTTTGCAAAATTTTTAGATGCGTGAGTTAGAAGCTTCAATCAATCTTTAACCCTGATTCTTCACAACTCTTTTTAAATATATGGGACATACTTCCCTCAATTCCCTGACCGTAACTTCTTCGTGAAAATTGGAAGTTCATACATATATTTTACAGGATCTTTCTATGCCTATTCTGAAAGAATGAACTCTGTTCTGGCATGAGCTCCGCTCTTAGATGCGGGTAGGTAATAGTTGAGTGTCTTTTCCATATTTTTCTAATTGTTTAGCAAAGTAAAAGAAATTCAAATTTGATAATCTATCCACGTAATCAATCAGATAATCAATTATATTGTACGACATTTAATGGGGCTGTGCAACAAAAATTATTTTTAGATTCTTGATACACAGAAAGATAATGCATGCATATTTATTTGTGCGATTAACCAAATTTGCTCATGTACATTTTAGAGAGGGAATTCTTGGCGTAAATACAATTGCTTTATCTGCATTATTTGTTCTTTGGATGCAGAGGAAAAGATGGATGGAAAACGTTTAAAAAGGACAGTATTCCAAAATTATGGGCGCTGATTGCTTTTATAGTGGTTTTAGTTCTAACTGTTTTATATACTCTTACTACAGAATTAAATACTGATAATTTCGACTTTTTAACACTTTAACTTGAAATGGAAGCTTTCTTTGTTACTTTCTCTCCAGTCTCCATTATCACGATTGTTAGCGCTTTGTAAAAACGTGTGGAAGTAGGCGAATGGACAGGTGATCGTAATCTTGAAGTGAAAAACTTTATAGAAATACTTCAGAAGGCGTTACAACAAATTCCTACACATGACAGTGAGCGGATATCAATACTCCGCAGTTTTGGAACTGGAAACCCTTTGAGGCAACGAGTAAGTTACAAGTATTTATAATTAAAAGATTTAAGACATAAATGGATATGATGATTATGTTCTTTAGATTTTTTCACAATGACCACAGACGTTGCAACGTTGTAGCAGTAATTTAGCCAGTGAACAGGCTACGCCGTTGTAATAATAAAATATTACCTCCGCGTAGTGTAGCTGGCTCTGTGTATTAACGCTATATGTGGATCCCACTGTGTTCATACTGGTTTGCCGGCATTCTTGATAATTTTATATGAATGAAAAAAAATCTATCTGATCTTGCATATACTGGTTTTGTTGTACTTATTATTAGCATGAGTAATTTTTCAACTGAATTTTAATTTTCTTACAGGTCTCGTCTGCGTTTGATGATATTAGCTCTCTATTAACGTTGAATGCCTTGAATGTTGATGCGGTACCATGGGTGAACAATGCTATTAAGAACTTGGATACTTTGAAGCGTGAAACAAGAAAGCTTGCAAATAATACTTCGGGATTGGAGAAGAACATGTGGGAATATATAGTGAATGAGTTGAGTAAATTGCGGGTAAGCGATCTTGGATATGATCATCCGCTATGCTCCGGAATTTTAGATGTTTGTTCAGAGCCTCTTGTCAAAATGCCGGTAGAGTATCGTGATGTTTTCCAGGAGCCAAGTAGAAAATATTTGATACGTCCCAGCCAATTGCTCTGGGATGTTTGCGAAAATTTTGTTCACATAGAAGAGGATAAGATTCTTATGGAAGCCCCTGAAGAATTTGGCGATGCGCAATTTGGGAGATTTTTAGACGGACCGGAAAAATTACTAGACCTAACAAATAAGTTATTGAAAGCCTTAAGTGAGATCTGGTCATCACCAAAATGGAAGTCATATGAAGCAAAAGGAGATCCTTTGATAAATGAAGGTTCATATGTGTGTGAGGTACTTGCACCCTTGCTAAATATAACAATGAGTGGCTTGCCTGTGAATGCTGATACGTGGGGGGTGTGGTAAGATGATTTCGATTTTTTCCTATTATATTGATACGTAAAAAGGGTGATAATTTATATTAATTTTCTGAAACTAGGGGGTGATATGGGAAGTTTAGCTAGTGCAATGAGAAAAGATTCGATTAGAAGGGCACAGCGTGCAGATTATTCAGTAATTTCAACATTTAAAGGCACAGGATTAAGAGTCGAAATTGGTTACCTCGAGACTGGTCGCCCTGATTCTCTATTAAGCAAGCAATATAGTGACCATAAAAAGTTGGCGAGATTTTCTAAAGACTCTATCGATGTGACAAAAAAATTGACCAAAAACAAGAGGGCATTCAAAGGGTTGAGATGGAAGGAATTATTGGCAATTTTCACGATAAATATTGCTGGTACCATGTTAGAGTTTTGCTGTATGCACAAGACATCTGGAGTTTACAAGAACTACTTGATTGAACGAGTGCCAATTCCGTTAAAGATTTCAACACCAGAAAATGTTTATTGCCTCATCCATACACTTTTAACGTTTAGGTCTGCAATTGTATGTACTGTGCGGAAAATCTTATATAATATTAATATTGGTGACATATATAATGACAATTCTGAAGATGTAGAAGTATTGACGGTAACAACCCCTAAATAATTTAGTTGGCTCACACAGGTAAGTGGATTGAATGAAATTTGTTTTGATAACATTAAATGAACTGAATTTTGCATATATTGCTACAAATTATCCCGAAAAAAAATAAACCAGACTTAATTAATTGTTACACATATTGAGAATTACCAAATCAAGATTATTCGCCTTGAGATATCTACATACCTCTTCATAATCAAATACCTCCTTTACATCCTGTGTCTTCTTATTTATGACAGTTATATGGCCTTCATGAATAATGTGATCATATTTATCCCGGTTTTGAAATTGTAAATATTGCGTAGGATTTGTAGTGAATCTACCTTGAGTTTTTCATCTGTTATTTCTAGATTTGCCAGACATATTAATATCTTATGTATAATGACGTATTATATCAAAGTATTGAGACACATTCATTTTTTTTTCTTGTCAAAAGTGATCGGCGTAAAGATTCTTTATGCACACGTGATTTTGATGAAAAATAAAGCATGGACATCCACATAATTCGATCGAGACAAATGGTTACATAGAACCTTACTTTATTGATATATAAAA